TCCCTCGGAATGCTAAGTATCCCAAATTTTACGAGACTGCACTGTGCAGTAGTGTCATCTTTTGTGGTACTTGGCATTCTCTTGGCATTGGATGTCACCTTCCTTCAAGGTAAGGATAAGTATTTTGCATAGAGTAGAAATTTAACCACTTCAGCTCCAGAAGATTTTACCCCCTTCGTGACCAGGCCATTTTTGCTATTCGGCACTGCATTATTTTAAGTGGAAATTGCGCAGTCTTGCAATGCTGTATACAACTGAAATTTATATAATTATTTTTCACACAAATAGAATTTTCTTCTGGTGGTATGTGATCACCACTGGGGTTTTTAGTTTTTATTGTATAAATGAAAAAAGACTGACATTTTTGAAAAAAAAAAACCCCTATGTTTTCTATTATAAAACATAAATTAAAAATCCAATTTCTTCATAAATTTAGGCCAGAATGTATTCTGATACATGTATTTGGTTTAAAAAAAAATCCCAATCAGTGTATATTATTTAGTCTGTAGGAAACTTATAAAAAGAAGACAGTGTGAGGTATTTAGTAAGAGGCATGGCAAGTTTTTTGATGTTGTAATTTTTTCTCACAATTTTTTGGAAAATGAAGAAATTAAATAAAATTTTCACCAGTGCAGTATAGCATCATGATATCACTGGTGGATTGCTGATCAGGGACACTGACTGGTGACAGCATGTTAAAAATCATGTGTACCAAGATTCATATTCCACTGTGTCTGGTGGACACAGCAGTCGTGGGAGGGGGGGCGCTGTGGGCCCCCCAGTTTCAGTACAGGCAAGATGATGTACAGGTATTTCGCTTTGCATGGACATGCCACCTGCCCACAGTAAAAGTGCTTCAGGTGGTCAGCAAGTGGATAATGACCTCACAAATGCAGAAACAGGAGCTCAGTTATGCAAGTTCATCCTTTCAAAGAATATGAGAAATGATGTACCCCCTCCCCCAAAGCAAGGGTAAAATGCTTGTTAACTCTAGGAGATAAGGAATAAGGGGTAATACTTATCTTATGGTTTGTGCCAGCAGGCACAAGAGCCTCATGGAGCCTCTTTCATAAGACACCCCAAAGTTACAGTTCTATGATGACATTATCAAGTACAATGCAGGGCCAATAGCACTGCAGCAAAGAGCAAGGAAAGTAATTAATGAGTATTTAAGAGCCTTGCAGTGCAAGAGGGAAAGGTGGGGGTTTTGAATCCAAACCCAAAGATGAGTTTTGAACTTAGCTTGTTTGCAAGTGCAAGGGTATAGTGACTGGATGGGTGTGTTCTCTTTTGAATTGCATAGGGTCCAGGACACCTATAGATAGGAACTGAACCCTGCACATTAAAAACAATATCCTGTTCTTCCATTGAATGCTGGGAGAAAAGTGGATTTGTGGAGATCAAAAAATTACAGTTGCATTCTGTTTTTGCAATTGCGATATCACATGTTATATGTTTTTTGCTCTATTCAGGAGCATATATATATATATATATATATATATATATATATATATATATATATATATGTAAAAGCTTCAGTTGCCTGTGTGAAAAATGTACATTATGTCTAATTATGTGTTAATGCTTTCTGTCATACTTGTTGGTTTCAATCAATGATTCAAGTAAGGGGGATTATTTTACCAATGGCTTGAATTTATTTGCATAAAAGGATACAGAAGCCTCATTCAGCTTTAGCCCTCATCAATTACACCTGTCCAGACTTTTGCAAGAAAAAATGGTTGTACTGTTCTTGAATTGTAAAGCACTGTATGTACAATAAAATGAACTAAGTGGTGAGTCAGCACAGCTAACCAAAGGGTATGATTCTTAAGCATTTAATTAAAATATAAAAGTTTGACAATTGTAATAGTTAGAAATGTGAACTTAAATGCAAACCCCTTTGAAAATACTGTGGAAAGAGCTATATGGGCTTTGCTACTTAAATGTGTTATTTAATTATTGCTTATAATTACTAAGATTTTGAAAGATTTAATTCCATTATAGTATAGAACCCTTAAGGACGTAATCGTATAAACCTCTAGCTTAATTCCATAGGCACTATTATATTTCCTAAGCTGTTGGAATGCCAGGGAATTACAGTTCTGCATAGCTGGAGCCTGTAAGGATATGAATTTCTGTTGCCAGCATATTTATGCATAATAGCAAGATTATTCTTTAAGCATCATGCTTCTTCCAGATGAAATATACGAGAGAGAGAAAGAGAGAGAGAGAGAGAGAGAGAGACTTCTTTAGAGTGTACTATAGATTCAGTCTTGAAAAATGATAATCTTGAAAAATGATAATCTTGAAAAAAATTCTAATGCCAAAGTTTGTCGGTGTGTGTGAAAAAAGAGCAAATATGCATTTTATAAGTATCTACAGTCATGGCCAAAATATCGACAACCCTGCATTTCTGTCAGATAATTTACCACTTTGCCCAGAAAATTGTTGCAAATGTTCAGGCATTCTCTTGTTTATATTTTTTGTTTGTATTGGTAGTTTGTTGTATTTGTTACGACACAAAAAAGTGGAGAAACAAAAAGCCAAAACTGACACATTCCATGGAAAACCCCAAAAAATGGACTGGACAAAACTATTGGGACCTTCTAAAAATTGTAAGAAATAATTGCTTTCCAAGTTTGTGATGCTCCTGTAATTTGTAATAAAACTCACCTGTATCAATTAACAGGTGCTGACAAAAAATAAATTATACCGGCAACCAGTTAAAATGGTGAAAAATTTGACTCAACCTTTCTGTTGTATGTCTCTGTGTGCCATGTGGAGCATGGAGAAGAGAAAGAGCAGAAAATAATTGTCTGAGGATTTGAGAACAAAAATTGTGGAAAAGCATGGACAATCTCAAGGTTACAAGTCCATCACCAGAGATACTAGTGTTCCTGTGTCCACTGTGCACAACATTATCAAGACGTGTACAGCCCATGGCACTGGAGCTAATCTCCCTGATGGACAAAAGAGAAAACTTGATCAAAGATTGCAACAAGGATTGTTTGAATGGTGTTAAAAGAACCTCGATCAACTTCCAGACAAATTCAAGCGGACCTTCAGGCACAGGGTATAACTGTGTCAGCTCACACTATATGTCACTATCTGAATGAAAAGGGACGCTATGGTAGGAGACCCAGGAGGACCCCACTGCTGACACAAAAATATAAAAAATCCTTTTGGGAGAATGTACTGTGGACAAACGAAACACAATTACAAAGAAAGAGGGAGCTGTTGCTCTTAGGAAAAAAACAACAAAACCAAAAAAAATTTAAATATCTATACAGCAGCAGTCTTAATTGTGAACTTTTTATACACAAAATCTTTTATAATTCATATAGACTGCACTTAGGTCATTCAAACAATAAACTTAATGACAATATGAAAATATTAGTGATATCAATGGACAAATATGACAACATCTGAATTTAGTGCAATAGTGCTTTATCCTTACTGGTGAACCTCCGTACTGAGGTGACAGGTGCTTGGCTGTGCTTACACTGGTGCCCCACATGGATTTACACTCACCGTCATCCCATGACCACCTATCTCTAGGTTGGTCAAATGCGCTTTTGGGACTATCCCAGTATGCAAAGTGGTATTGTTGACTGATGTTCCTTTACACCCTTAACAGTGGTTGCTAATAAATTTGCCTTCTCTTTGTCCCCAGTCACCTACTCTAGATTATTTTGTAAAGGGCCTACATGCTCAGACCAGACCTTTTTATTATTAATATATTTGAAGAATTTTGGGGGGTTGGTCCTGCTATCTTTTGCAATCTTTCATTCGTTTTCAATTTTTGCGGCCTTTATTTCCTTTTTGCATATTCTGTTATATTCTTTGTAATGTTTAAATCATGATAGCGTTCCTTCATTTTTATATTTAATGAAAGCTCTTTTCTTATTATCTATAGCTTTTTTAACTTTGGCCGTAAGCCACATAGGTTTGATTTTTAGCCTTTTAAACTTGTTGCCCATGAGAATTTATGTTGCAGTGTGTGTTCACATGCAGTCTTTTTGAACAGCTCCCAGTTCTGTGTTGTGTTCATTGATGCCAATATTCCCTCCTAATCTAAGTCTTGGAGAGCAGCTCTCAGCCATGGAACATTAGCTCTCCTAAAATTGAGCGTTTTTATTTTTCCCGTATGTGCTTGCTGCAACTAACACTAAATGAAATCATGTAATGGTCAATGCTACCCAGATGTTCTTTTATATGGACATTCGTAATAAGCTCTGCATGGTTTGAGATTACCATGTCTAGCAGAGCATAATTCCTAGTAGGGGTCTCTAGGAACTGTACCATAAAAATTGTCCTGTAGTAGGGTTAAAATGTTTGCCCTTTAACTGTTCCTGCACTACCATTACTCCAGTCAATTTCCGGATAGTTAAAATCCTCCATTATTACCACTGTTCCAGCCCTTGCAGCCCTTTTGATCTGTGCAAGGAGCTGAGTCTCCACCTCTTCATTAACACTGGGAGGCCAAAAACAAACTCCAATGATTACTGTACCTTTGTAGTATGCACCCCCATGTGCAGTTCTACCTATAATGCTTCAGCCTCATCAAACTCTCCATCAACTAGGTCCTCTTTCACACTCGCTCTGAGGTCACTTCTCACATAGAGACAAACACCACCACCTTTCCTATTTACCCTGTCTATCCCATCCTACATGCTTCCCAACTGCCAGCATAGTTATCCAGTTGACCCTAAATTATATATAACATCTCTGCCTATAATTTCTTGATCACATGTCTATGGTCAGGTGGACCCTTCTGCTGACCACATGGTCCAGCAATGCGGAAACATTACCTTCCACATGATGGTGGTGGGCAGAGATTGTCTTAAGGGTGAAGAAAAGGCAGCCGGGAATCTACCACTGCGTTACATCACAAGCCACAAATTCAAAAAATGGGGCTGAATCCATCAGCTAGGAAGGCAGGAGACAGCAAATATGCCAAGCTGGCATTGAGCCAAGGAGGAGCTGGAAGGAGGTGGAGACAGTCTCTGGTCATCTCCTGTAGTATGTCTGCAGTCTCTGGTCATCTCCTGTACTGCGTCCGCAGTCTCTGGTCATCTCCTGTACTACGTCCACAGTCTCTGATCATCTCCTGTACTACGTCCGCAGCCTTTGGTCATCTCCTGTACTATGTCCGCAGTCTCTGGTCATCTGTACTTGACCGCAGTCTCTGGTCATCTCCAATGGTGATGATCAAAAAAACTAAATAAAACAATCAAAATTGCCTGCACATGTGGTTCGCTAGCTCCTTACACTAACTCATAAATAGTGTTAAAATCCTCAATCCAAATATTAGTGCTACGCTCCCGTGCTATTAATAGTGTTACCCTTGATATAATGTGATCATCAAATGAATAAAAAATAAATTTATATATATATCTGTGACTGGTATTCATATAATAAACGTGATTGTTAACCTAAACCAAAAAATACATGATTTGTGAAGGAAAAAAAAATAAAATAAATAAATCTATAAATATATATAATTCAATAAAAATCCAATAAACCAAAACAATTATAGCTCAGAAAATGTCCGTATTAGGTGAGTAGTCCTCTCATTATATTGAACAAGCTTGTGACATCCAATGGGTGAGAGATCAATGAATACTGCTATATTATGCGCTCACCTCCTTTTTAGCCCAATAAATTTAGGCTAAAATCGCTTTTTGTCCTAGGAGGAAAGATGTAACTATTCCTGTTCCAACAATCCTTTATGGGTAATTCCTCCTGGTGATATATTGGTAATCCACCTGGTGATTCTCCAAAAAGATCCTCCCTGTACTGGGATATGGATGGATGGATATATCCCCTCCAGGGGTCTATCTCTCCTTATATCCCCTCCAGAGCTCCACATGTATATTAACAAAGACAAGAAGAAGAAATAGTGCCTTTATCCTGTGTCCGCAGTCTCTGGTCATCTCCTGTACTGTGTGCACAGTCTCTGGTCATCTCCTGTACTGTGTCTGCAGTCTCTGGTCATCGCCTGTAGTATGTCCGCAGTCTCTGGTCATCTCCTGTAGTATGTCGCAGTCTCTGGTCATCTCCTGTACTATGTCCGCAGTCTCTGGTCATCTCCTGTAGTATGTCCGCAGTTTCTGGTCATCTCCTGTAGTATGTCCGCAGTTTCTGGTCATCTCCTGTAGTATGTCTGCAGTCTCTGGTCATCTCCTGTACTATGTCCGCAGTCTCTGGTCATCTCCTGTACTATGTCCGCAGTCTCTGGTCATCTCCTGTACTGTGTCTGCAGTCTCTGGTCATTTCCTGTACTATGCCTGCAGTCCATTGGTTCAGAATATTTTTTTTCTTGTTTTTCTCCTCTAAAACCTAGGCGCGTCTTATGGAGCGAAAAATACGGTATATATATTTTCTTCCATGTGGGCATACATCTACCTAAAGAGACATTATCTAATGTTTGGTTGTCACGTTTTGCTCCAAGTTTAGTAAGGGAAGTTCAGCTCACTATTTATGTCATATATAAAAATAATAACACAGGATTTATATAGCGCCAACAGTTCGCACAGCGCTTTACAATATACAGCATGCGCTCCATTTATGGTTGTTGCCTGCAACATAAAACTTCTGCCTTCCTTATGACGCTGAGCAAGAGCCTCCCAGTTCAACTTTCTACAAAACAAGATATATCATTTATTTATTGATTTAAAGTATTTCATGTATTGAAACAACATGCAAATAGACAATAAGTATAAGAACACAGTGGGAGCTGTCAGAGTCGAATGTAAAGCAGATGGTATTAGAAAAATATTAAGACCTGTGTAAGTTCAATATTTTATTTATGTATATAGAATTTCTTTAATGTCTTTAATTGTTTTAGTAATAATAAAAAATGTAGATTTTAACAGTTTAAGACCCATCATTATGTTTTTGGCACCTTTAAAGTCCTATACTGACATTGGTGTCTGTTTCCCATTTTTTCTGAACATACATAAGGGATGTGGTTCCTAGGACATTCATCAATTCAATGGTGATAGATAGTTATACACCCTATTTAAGGCTCCTGCGTTGGCATCCTTGGACCTTTTTACCAGTTGTGAGTAGAAGACAGAAGTGCGGTCGGTGAGGCTCCAGTAAATGATGCACCTGAAAAATATTTTTAATTAAATAGGCATGCTTGGAGCTTATCAGGCTCAACATCAAGCTCATGTAAAGAAAATCCCTTTCTTTTATACCAGGAGTGTCAGACTCAAAATCATCGGAGGCCGCAGGTTGCCCTCAAAGGGTTGGTTGTATCTACATACAGAGTGCAGGGTTCAGGAGTGCACTATGCACAGTGTGCAACATCTCATTTCCACCCCTCCTCCTGGGTTCTGACCTCTGCACTCACCGCTCTCCCCCTATCCTCCATACCTCTGCACACATCTACCTCCGCAGCCCTCATCCCATCACCCCCAACCCCATTGGCCCAGCATTAGTACCTTTCTGTGAAGGTGAATCTGTGTATTCAGCTCCAGGACCAGTGAATCTAGTTCTGCTCTAGTGTAATATGTTTTATTGCTCCAAAATTTAAATCAATTGCATTCACATGTAAGACGTACAGTTGTGTTCAAAATAATAGCAGTATGTTGAAAAAAGTGAATAAAGCTCAAAATCCTTCTAATAGCTTTTATTTCCATACACACAAATGCATTGGGAACACTACACATTCTATTCCAAATCAAAACATGAAGAAAAATATATCAAATGTGTGTTGTTCCTCTAAAAAAATTGAAGAAAAGTGAATATTAGACTGTTCAAAAAAATAGCAGTGTTTGTATTCTTCTTTACAAACTCAAACATTCACTATATAAACTGAAAAATGTTTGAAGATTTTGCTTTCCTTTGAATCGCTTAATTAATATTTAGTTGTATAAGCACTGTTTCTGAGAACTGCTGTACATCTGTGTTGCATGGAGTCAACCAACTTCTGGCACCTGTGAACAGGTATTCCAGCCCAGGATGATTGGACTACATTCCACAGTTCTTCTCTATTTCTTGGTTTTGCCTCAGAAACTGCATTTTTGATGTCACCCCACAAGTTTTCTATTGGATTAAGATCAGGGGATTGGGCTGGCCACTCCATAACGTCAATCTTGTTGGTCTGGAACCAAGATGTTGCACATTTACTGGTGTGTTTGGGGTAATTGTTTTGTTGGAACACCCATTTCAAGGGCATTTCCTCTGCAGCATAAGGCAGTGTGACCTCTTCAAGTATTCTGATGTATTCAAACTGATCCATGATAAATAGGCCCAACACCGTAGTATGAGAAACATCCCCATATCACAAAGCTTGCGCAACCATGCTTCACTGTTTTCACAGTGTATCGTGGCTTGAATTCAGTGTTTGGGGGTCATCTGACAAACTGTCTCCGGCCACTAGACCCAAAAAGAACAATCTTACTTTCATCAGTCCACAAAATGTTGCGCCATTTCTCTTTAGGCCAGTCAATGTGTTCTTTGGAAAATTGTAACCTCTTCAGCACGTCTTTTTTTCAACAGTGGGACTTTGCGGGGGCTTCTTGCAGATAGCTTGGCTTCACATAGGCGTCTTCTAATTGTAACAGTACTCACAGGTAACTTTAGACTTCTTTGATCTTCCTGGAGCTGATTTTTGGCTGAGTCCTTGCCATTTTGGCTATTCTTCTATCCATTCCAATGGTAGTTTTTCGCTTTCTTCCATGTCTTTCAGGTTTTGGTTGCCATTTTAAAGCATTGCGATCATTTTAGCTGAGCAGCCTATCATTTTCTGCACTTCTTTATATGTTTAACCCTCTCCAATCAATTTTTTAATCAAGGTACGCTGTTCTTCTGAACAATGTCTGGAATGACCCATTTTCCTCAGAATTTCAGAGAGAAATGCACTGTAGCCAGCATGTATAACATTTGCTGCCTTCCTTCCTTAAATAAGGGCAATAATTGCCACCTGTTTTTTAAAGAATGAATGACCTCACTAATAGAACTCCACACTGCTATTATTTTGAACATGCTCCTTTCAATTAGTGTTTCAATTACACAGAATCAGCAGCATGCATATCATGACTGTTGGGTCTGTTGGATTTCTATTACTCTACTACACCTGCTAGTAAATTATTTGCCATGTAGAAATATAATTTCTACCAAAAACAGTGATTGATCAGGTTAGTGATGTCTGACTGCTATAATTTTGAACACAACTGTACAAGAACGTTATCTGCCTCTCTTCAGTCTCATCACCTCTGTTGGATGGAGCAAGTCCTCAAAAGCCCACCATCAGGATACAGCTCACTGGATGGAAAGGAACACACCAGCTGCTGGAGTTGTCATATACCTCTGCCATTGACAGGCTATATCAGACCAACCACACATGCTTACAGCTACACACAAAGCCAGTGTGACTGGTGGGATGAAGACACTAAGGGGTTTATTTACTAAAGCTGGAGAGTCCAAAATCAGACTCCCTTCTGCATAGAAACCAATCAGCTTCTAACCTCAGCTTGTTCAATGAAGCTTTGGCAATGAAACCTGGAAGCTGATTGGTTTCTATGCAGAAGTGAGTCTGATTTTGCACTCTCCAGCTTTAGTAAATAAACCCCTAAGTGTTTATGTCTGTAGCCAAGACCACTTGTTCTGTGACAGTGGGAGGCAGAGGGTGAGAGCAAGAGATGGCGTCCTCTGCAAGGGCCACATGATAAGACCTGGTGGGCCAGATGCGGCCCGCATGCCTTGTGTTTGCCACATGTGTTCTATACTATACTGTAGAACTTTAAAGCATTATTTGCCAACCAAATGTAGGGATCTGCCGCTCTGTAAACCCAAGAAGGAGGAAGTGGAGATGGAGACTAATAGTTTAACAGCAGATGCACATAGCTTCTTCAATGTGTATCTAAATCCATGTGACAGACTTATCTCTGGCCTATTGTTAATATCTCACATGCACAGTGCCAAATAGTGAGGTCTGTGCTACTGTATGTGTGTAGTGAACACCTTCCAGTATAATAGTAGGTGAAACTGTTTTTGCAATAGAATTTATATGCAGCTCATGTTATTTAGTTAGCCCTGTCACTTCCGATCTGGGACTCTTTAGATAGTTTTAGCTCAGGTTTCATTAACCAACATAGGCTAACGCCAGATTAGGCATCTGACTACTACTTCTGGTAGTTAGCTGTCCAGCTGCATGTCAGATTAGAAAATATTAGGGACTAAAGTGAAGAGTAGAAGGCTAACTCCAGTACTACACCACAGTTTCTGCGTGTGAGAAGCTGTGTTCCAGGTTGGTTGGACAATGCCTGGAGTATCCCCCCATCACTGCAGATCTTGTCTTCAGGTCTTCAGCACACAGATGAACGTTGAATCATGATCATTCTCAGGGATCTCTGCAAATTAACTTTGCTGCAACATTTATCTAGAGGTATCCCTATTGAGGGAGAAGCATAAACAAAGCTTTTTTTGGCAATACTTATCCTATAGATCACAGGAGTGAAGTTCATTAATTCTCCTGTGACCCATTTTCATCCGATGGTGGGCTAAAGTCCATTGTCAGTTGATGTCACTGAGCAGGTCCAGGTGAAAAGATTCCAATCATATGGCCAAGATCCACCCAGAAGCCTGGACCAACACCTGGCTCAGCCTTTCAGCGATCCACAGAGAACCTGAGCCCTCCCCTCCTGCAGCCTCCACAGCCCAGTGCTCCAGTGAGCACTTGAAGAGTTAAGCAGAGAGCCGGAGACTGACAGTCACAGCTCTCTGCTCAGAGGAGAGGGGGAGATCTGAGCGGTCAACAATGTTCGATCACTCAGTTCTCACTGCACAGCCGGCTGAGGACAGATGCAGCATCAGACTTGGTGGATGCAGCATCAGACTGATGCTGCATCCACCTAGGTAAGTATAATTTGTTTTTATTTTATAAAGTCCATACTACTCTTTTAATAACTATATACCTAGGTATATGTGCACAATTCCACCAGGACTCCTATTGGACTCTTTGCTGATAATGCCTGTTTGTATGTTGGATATATG